TTTTTAACTTGTGTGTAATGTGTAATGTTGCTGTTTGAGCATACAAAAGATCTGCAAAGTTGCAAACTCAAAGGTAAATCAAATACGCTTTGATTTATGTCACATATTTGTGACTTCACATTTGTAATGATGAAGTTGAAATTTAGTACATTTTAAATAAATACAATTTAAGTGTAATATTGAATAACACACTACAGTTATACAGTTTAGTAGTTGTATTTAACCAACATGTCAAAATAAGCTTATTTATTTAACATAATATTTTAAAGTGTACTTTAAAGTAAAACTTTGAATTTGACATTACAAAGTGCACTTTTTACTTAAGCCATAAAAAGTGTACACTCTGTAGGTACGCTTAAATGGCCTTTTATTTAATTAATATTAGATTTTGTGCAAGTACTGTTTTTTTTAAATGTACACTAAAAGTGCACATTCAATACAGTTGAGTGCACTTCTTTTTCACAAAGTTAGATGTAAAAGCCCCAAATACCACAAAAAGATTATGCATCTTTTAATGCATTTCAATAACTTACATTATTATAATATGATTTGATACTATGAAACATTTATGTTTCTCTTTTTTGTTTGTTTATCTTGCTTTAATTCTCATTCTCTGTCACTCTCTCTGGGGTCAAGGTGTAGTGTGTCTTGTCTCTCCAGGTGTGCACAGATGATGGAAGTGGTTGAGTCTGGAGACCCCTGAAGTTCAGACAGTGGAATGTGTAACACATTTTTAAATTTTTTAAATTTTCTAAAACTGACCTGACCACTGAAGCAAATGTAATGCAGCTATCATGACAGCACAGGCCAGATCGCCACGTGTTACGTGGTCAGACTGCAGTGAGCCGAATGCATGCTGTTGACACACGGTCAGATGGTAGGGCTGCGGGCAGAGTGTTCATGTGGTTGGATTAAAGCTGGATAAAAGGGCTATAAGAGCTGTTTTCGGGTAATTTATTTGCACAAGCTGGTGCAGGTTACTCAGTTACGATGCTGTTTGCAGTGTTATATCAGTGTAGGCTGGAATGTATACAGTTCACTAGTGCAACAACGGCACATCTGTGCAGAGATCCCATGGAGTCGTAAGGCTTTACCACTGTGAGTAGAGCACAAAGATAAACAGAGGCTTTCACACAAATGCTTACTTGCTAAGGGGTAAGTCAAAAGAGCCCACCTCTAAATCTGTATGATATTCTGTTTCCTACACTCTGAAAAATATCATTTAAAAACTTGCTGCTGTGGTTGCCAGAAAGTCACTGTAAAAATATGGTGACTGTCTCATTTTCAGTTAGTCAGTTTTAAGTTAACACTGTAAAAAATGATCAATGAGTCATGGCAACATATGTTTTTCACTGGAAATAAATTCAAGGTGGCTTATGCTTTAAATAAAATAATAATATGAATTTACTGTGAAAGTGTGCATTTCCTTTTTCAGTATTTTACAGAATTAAACTAAATTATGTTTTGTAATGTAAAAAATGCAATTATAATGCAACGTTAAACCATTTATAATTTTTTTATTGTATATGGTAAGGTAACTTAGAATTAAATATTTGAATGTTGTAACTGTCGTAAACTCTTTCAGTAAATTTGTTACAGTATAAACATAGTTTGGATTCCTCTGCCAATCTAAGTCAGTGGGATTTTCCATCCTTTCCCCAGACAAACATTATTACTTATCATTTAGAAAAGTAGTAGCACATCTCCTCAACAAGCCACATGATTTGAGGAATTATTCATGTCCTTAGGAAGTGTTTTTCTCTTTCTTGTCATTTGTTTCCCAAAAGTTTCATTGAAGTATTGCACCTCCTGACCTTCCTCTTGTTCTGTATGAAAGTATCTCCCAGAATTACGCCTCTAAAGCATCCTCTGGAGTATCTTACCATAATCAGCCACAGATATGAACAATTTTACATGGATCACAGCGACATTCACTTAGCTCCGCTCACAGGGATACAGCCTCGACTCTAGAGAGCTTTATCACAGAGAGAAAATTACCATATGACTTGCGTGGTTGGACCGGCTCAGCATTTCACAGATATTTTGTGAGCAGAGCGATGGATGCATCTTGTTTTCATTTAGATATTTCCATATTAAAGAGCCTCTCAGATGTAGCCCATCAAATGGATCATCAAACACATGTTTTTCATCTTTTAGTCGATCATTGCAACTCAATTTGAATGGTTAGATTGTCTTAATCCACACAAATCCCCATGTGAATTAGTAAACTACTTAACTGACCGCATCATTATCGCTACAGTAAGCACAAAATGCTGTTCCTCGTTACACCAGCGGAGATCTGCGGCACCCCTTGCTGAGTTGAACCATGGGCTTCCTCCATGCTGCGTTTCCTCTCAAGTTTTGCGAGTGATACTGGGGCCCAGTGGACCGGGGTGATGACTGCTCTGTTAGCCAATGACCAGGTGAAGATAGGCACTTATTAAAAACCTGTGCGCTCTCTCACTGAAAGAGTCAACCTTGGCCACCCTTGTGAGAATTGTCGAAGTCAGAAGACTGGATGATCAGAGAAAAACTTACACTATTGTGACATGCTGTAAATAGGGCTTGTTTTAAAGGAATTTTCTGGATTACCGCAGAAAGTATTTTGACTCGTGTCTTTTATGGTGGCCGGTATGACCACAACATTGAATCTAGACATCAGTGAGAAGTGCCAATTGATGCCATTTCAAAGATGGAGGCAATTAACAAGCATAGACATTAGTCAGGTTAGACACCATATTGAATTTAATGCATATGAAAACGAAGCTGTGTGAGGAATTGACTTACTGTGACATACATTTTATGGTGCACATATGTGTACAAATGCAAGACTGATTGAAGCGTATTGAAGTCGGAAATTGTAAATTCAAATCTAATTCCCATCTCCGTCTTCGTCTGGAATGTGGTATACATATTTTTATATTATGGTAACAGTATACAGCAGGGCTGTTCAATTGCAGTGTTTAGTTCCTTTACACACCTGCCTGTAATTTTCAAGTAATCCGAAAGACTCTGGGTCCAGTTGCATAAACATAGCCACTATGTTAAGACTGTTTTTTAAGAACTACCGTATTGGCCCGAATATAAGACGACCCTGATTATAAGACGACCCCCCCTTTCAACTAGCAGCTAGCCATGTCTTAATCAGTCTTACTTCTCAGATTTAAATTTAGACCAATCTACCTTTTATGTAACTGACTTTAAAAAAGTTATGACCATATACCTTGGTTCTTCATCCTAAATCTGGAACACAATAACTTGACACTTGCACCAGGGGGCTTAACTCTTACTCAGAAGTTGCTTTTCATTGCCCAAATATGTAACTTGCGTAACTGGATTAAGGACAAACCACCTTTAATTCCCAGTGGTTTTAAGAAATTACCATATACTTCCATTTAAAATAATTCTGGTCTGCTTATTTTTGCCATCTTACCAGACTCAACTAAAGAAAGTTTAGTACTCGGCCAGGCCGAAAAACTTGGAAAATGTAGTAATTTCTATTAAAATTGAATGCTGTTGTCATGTATGCACACTATCTTGGGGGTGGGGTTGTTGGTTATGTTTGTATACTTGATGTAATTTTATAAATAATAAAATGACCAGTCTTGATAAAAAAAAGATGACTAATTTTAAAGATTAAAGGGGTCATATGATGCGATTTCAAGTTTTCCTTTCTCTTTGGAGTGTTACAAGCTGTTCGTGAATAGATAAGATCCCTAAAGTTGCAAAGACTAAAGTCTCAAACCCAAAGAGATACTCTTTATACAAGTTAAGACTGGTCCACGCCCTCCTAAAACGCCTCATTTAAGCACGCCCCCACATGTCTATGTCACGATGTGGGAAGATTTGCACAACGCCGCCCAAATGTTCACGTAAAGAAAGAAGGCGTAACTTTACTGTTGCTGCCACCATGTTGTGAAGATGCTGTGTGTTTCGTTGCGAAAGCGAAAATTCTTAGTTTGGCCTTCCAAAAGAGGACACGACTAGAAATCAGTGGTTAAGCTGTATTTACAACACTGTTCCAGAACAGTTCAACCCAAATATTCAGCTGTGTGCAGTGCATTTTATGGAGGACCGTTTCCTGATCCTGGGAGAGTAGACTACAATGCCAGCTGTTCTGACTCCTAGTCTGTAAGTACGTTTTCATATTCAAAGGATTTGCCACTGATGATTCAAACGCGAGTTTTGAGCAGTGTAGAGTAGCACTTGTTGTTTGTCGTTTCTCCGATCACAAATGCAGACATGGTTTTATGTTTAAGCGGCGCGATGCAATGCAACGCGTAAAAAGACTGTATAAATCATTACAGTTTTTTAAAATTGGTTTGGTACGATTTTCATAAGGTGTACAGTTTCAAAACTCTTAGTACAAAAACTTACACTGATCACACTTGTAATACCACTAGTCATTCTTTCAAAACCTGATCTTATTGTAGTTGCACATTTTCATTCCACAATCATTGTTTCAGAACACAAGTTCATTGTGATATGTATTGAGAACATTTGGTTTAATCACCAAAACACAATAGTAAGATCTTTTCAACTTCGTACTTTTAACAATCAGTTCATTCAGTAGCAAACAATACAAGGTACAGGTTTCAAATCAGCCTCGGTGCTGAATGAATGTTACTGTACACACAGCCATCACAACAGATGTTACACTTACGTTCAGACAAACTGACAAAAGCCACACACACACACACAAAAGTGATCAAAGAACACATCAAAAGTCATTTACAGACGCAAGCAAAAAAAGTATTTTAGTTTACAACAATACTGCGGTTTCATGTGAAGAAACCCCAAGCAACAACAACCTGTAAATGTAGACCTGAAATTCACATTATCAAGCTAGTCTTCTACATTTGGCCATAAATTTAACAACAACATCACAGTGAATGTCTTCATTGTTCAGGCACCGGGGGAAAAACCTTCTGGCATGACGAATCCAGACTTGACATTGCTCTGCAGTTTTATCACCACAAGCTTCATCCATGGCTTGAAGAAGGGTGACATGCTCATGGGGATGGCGATGGCGATCATACACCTTCCACCTCCATGTAGAGAAGAATTCCTCAATTCGGTTGAAGAAAGGCGAGAATGGGGAAGGTAGAGGGTCATGAACCGAGGATGTGCCTGAAACCATTCCCGAACCAGCTCTGCATGGTGGAAACTGACATTGTCCCACACGATAACACAGATGACATCTTCACCCTGACAGGCCTGCTCAAGCTCATTTAGAAAAGCTATCAGGTGTTCCGTGTTGTATGATCCTAGAACTGGTCTACAGCCTACCACACCATCTTCAGATATAGCTGCACACATTGAGATGTTTCTCCCACGTTGTCCAGGCACTTGGATGGTTGCCGTTTGGCCAATAAGGTTACATCCACGGGTTCTGGTTTTTGCCAGATTGAAACCGGCCTAAATCAACAAAAATATACTTATGATTCACAGCAGCGTCCAGCTCCATCACCCTCTAAAATAATAATTTGGTTAGCGCTTTTACAAATAGTTGACATTGTTAAAGTCAGTACTGTAAATTGCATGTCATACAGTTCACCAATTTAGTGTTGTACCTGAACATATTTTGAACGCAGTGGTTTCACCCGGGCATTGTTTCTCTCACAAGGCACCAAGTAAATTTGTTTCATAGAAACCTGGTGCTTCTTCAAAAGGCGGGCAATAGTTGGAAGGATAATTGACGGCACATTGGCAAAGGTGTCATTGCTGTTCTCAATAGCCTGCTTGATTTCAGACAGCCGTATGTCATTCCTTGCCCTGACAATTTCCACCACAGCCAACTCCTGCTGGTCAGTCAAAACACGTGGGCAACCACCACCAGGTTGTCTCCTGTTAATTCTGAGAGGACAACAGTATGCTGTCAATATTTTACTATTACAAATTACATAAAACTGTGACAATTACATGTTGTTCTTCAATACAGTAATGCCACTATACTTTTACAATATAGTACTGTTACAGTAGTGAAGTTACTATAGCAGACTTACTGGTTTTCTGGGCGAAAAGTTCTGATGATAGAGCCGACAGTTGACTTTTGTAAGTTAGGCTGAACTAACCTGGCAGCCTCTGCCATGGTAAGGCCTCTGTTAACCACATGGTCAGCAATGATGGCCCGGACTTCATTAGAGATGATGGTGCCCTGTCTTCTGCCTACATTTCGCTGAAGACCACCTCTTTGTTGAGGAGCACCACCACCTCTTTGTCTTGGCCCACGTCCACCTCTCTGTTGAGGAGGAGGAGGAGGAGGAGGAGCAGCAGCAGCAGCAGCAGCACCACCACCACCACCTCCATGCAGGTTTCCTCTCTCTACAAATCTATCCTGCTCCATGTTTGAACATTGCAAAGTCTCACACACAGTTCTACTTATATGGTTTCTAATTGTGATCATCAGGTGAAAATAATTAGTAATTGGTCTTTCTTGATTGAAAGCTCTTACAGCAATTTGTAACACAAATTATCAGACGACAAGCAGACAAGTTGAAAATCTATGGACATAATAAATGATTCATTGATTAAACATTAAGATCAGTTGAATTAAATGATAGACAAATGTATTAAACTGAATGATAAGAGATGCAAATCTGCAGCAGGCCCCTGATTAGTTGATTCAGGTGTGTTTGATTAGGGCTGTATCTAAACTCAAAGGACAGGAGTTGAACAGCCCTGGTATATAGCTTAATTTGGTATCATTTGGGTGTAATATATTTTTTCTAATTCATCATAAACAAACACATTTATAATCAACATTCATCCATTTATCCATTCTTCAAAACACTTATCCCCTGTAGGGTCACAGGTATCATCAACATGTGATGAGTAACCCTGCCGTCGTTCCACCCAGACTAGATATTAGTTTGTAAAAAAAGAAGCAAAATATGTTGCCAATTATGCTCTTACAATGGAAGTCTACGGGGCAAGCGTACAATCATTCTGTAAACACTTTTTGTTTGCCTTTACAAGCTGAGTTGAAAATTATTTTCTGTGGTAATCAATAGCATGTCATAGATGTTGTTGAGCTTAACATGTATTAAGCCCATAATACTGCTTTAAACATTAATAGACTGCATTATAGTTTAAAATAAACATGTTTACCCTTACCAATCATCCAGCACCCAAATTTAAGTGTGTCTGGATTATATTAAGTTGAATTCTCTTGCTATGGCATAGCTGATTATAATTTGACTTCTGGGAAATCTACTTGGTAGTCTTGTGTTATTCTGTTTACACATTTTCTCTCTTTAGGGACCATTTTCCTTTGCTCACTGATGAGGGCAGAACGTCTGAACTGATTTTTATGCTTGTACCTAAATTAATGCACATGAAAATCTCTGTTTTTTGGTCATAACCTCTTGTCCCTCACAAGAAGGTTTCTTTGTCAGGTCAATTTTAGAGTAACAAGAAGTAATGAGTTGTATTAATCATTTGCAATGGCTATATGTTTCATTTCAAATTACTTCCTGAATATATCATGTTGATATAGTAATTCTGGAAGCAATTCATTGTGCCACAATATACGTAAGTTGCCCCTCTGATCAGACTTACAGGCTCAGTATGGTTAAAGTTAGGAGTAGATTTGTGGTTAGGCTTATATGTCAGTCTGGCAGGCACAATATGGGGCAACTTCCATCAATGAGCATGTTGCATTTTCAACAAACACAGTTTACTTCATAACTGTGACAAATCGATGTTTGTACTCTACTATGAAAAAGAAGAAGCTTGTTTCATATTTATTTTGGATGTTGTTTGTCCTCACGCTGCCTCTGTTGTTTTGGTCTTGGCTCTCTTAAGTTTTGCCAGAAAGCAGTCCTTTATTCTTGTGAAGTGTGTTGTTTTTCCCAAAAGCTAACTACAAATGCTTCAAATGTTTTGACTGTCCAAATATCTGTAGGATGGATCTGTTGGATCGCAGATGTTGTCCAGCTGTGTAAAATACTAAATCATTAAGCAAACAATTTCTTTTTCTGTTCATGCTCACTAATTCCGGCCCTTATCTCGGCCCTTAAATCTTTGGATTTCAGGAAGAATGTCTTCTTGGGTGTGAAAACTACACTTAGAGCACTGACATAAATATGTCAGATTCAAAAACTCTTTGTTAAGTCGCTATTTGCGAAATATATTTTCTTGATGATAATTTTGCCTACTGTGTTAATAAAATATGTCCTCCTCTGTTAGGGCTCAGATTGATCCCAAATATATAATTCATATTTTTGTCTTTGACAAGATACAGGAAAGATTTTATATTTTTTAGCTAACTCTAGTGTTTTTCAAATAGTTGATTTTTGGCAAGTTGCATGGAAACCAATGAAGGTCTATTGGACCGCTAACACCATCATAGGCACACAATTTGTACATCCTTTCCAGAACACATTTATGTGTCGGAATTAAAATTATTCACTAATAATCTTCCTATCTGTTCAAAAATCACTGATGCCAAAAAAGCATTAATTCTTTTTGTGTAGCAGCCTAACATTTTTATTCTAGATATAAAATTGGGCCACAGGATAGGGCAATTGTAATAATTTTCAGTTAGCCTCTGACACACAGCTATCATATTGCTATAAAAGCCTTTAAATTCTGTAAGCACAAGACATATGGACTACTTTTGTGGTTCTTTTTGGGACTTGACAGCCTCTGGCCACTATGAACTATTGTTGTATGTCAAAAATGGAATGACTGGGAGTGACTGAATGCCAAAAATCACACCCATCACAACACTTCTTTCTCAAGTGAAATGTAAGCATTTGTTTGCTAGTAGTGCTTACTGAGGGACACAGATTGCATATCCACAACACTGAGCACTGTGGTCCTCTGAGTAATTCAGATGTTTGTTCTCTTTGCGCTGGTCTGTCATACCTACACCATAACAGGTGGATGAATCATTTCACATATGCACGGCTACCACTCTGAGCTCTCAGGGTGTATATTTTAGGTTCTGCAATTATGCAGTTAAAAATAAAAAACTGCAGCAATAAGATCCTGTTCACGTAACTCGAATGTGTGTAATTTCTGCTTCAGTGTTTGTCTTGCATATTTTGTTGGTCCATCTGGAGTCCAGAAAAACTTCCCTTCCCTCTTCATAGCAACGCTGTTGCTAAAATATGTTGATGCCACAGCCATCGACAGACAGTTCAAGGCCTGTTATGGTTTCAAAAGCATTTTCCTCATAATATCAGGCTGGCTTCATCTGCCTCACTCTGATGTCAACAGTGCACATGGACTGTATTCTTTTGATATGCATGTAAATATCCCAGTCGCTCTAAACCCTTCAGTCAGATGAAGCAGTCGACTTTACAGCCCATCATTTCTCCAGAGACTAACAGTTTGATGCGATCACATGATAGGTGCAAACCCTATTGTCCCCCATCTGGAACCACGGAGGAATGAAATCAATTATGTGCACATAGACGAAAACATACTTCACAATTATATGCAGTATGCTCAAGTATGTCTTTGAGGAGACAATGGATGGCATTGTTCGGAAAGATAAACATACCTCTAAAACTTCATTATGTGGCTTCATTCATGCTTTGCTGGATGTCAGAGATCCAAATAAATCAGAAGATGGAGAAAATGCTCGGGCCTTTAATGGGACGTTCAGTATTTGTTGTTGAATTATAAAGCCTGTCATTTCTTAGCGGGGTGTCTGAAGGAGACAGGAAGATCAGATGGCCGTCTTGGAATCTGTGGACAACTCATCCCAGATCTAGTTTGCATATGGTCAGACATATTTTTCCACTGCTGTATTTGTGTTTGTGTGCACAAGAAAGAGAGCGAGAAAGAGAAGAAAAGAGGTAATAGCTATTCCAAAGAAAACATTGTTGTGGTATATAGCAAATTTCCTGTATAGTACCGCTTTACAGAAAACATCACACTATTTACTGTATGTCGTCATTTTCTCCACAAGACGTGATGGTGCATTTTGATGTGTCTTGGCAGCTTGTGTGAATCCTGATATACTTCAGTCTTTTTACGTAAAGCCTCTACCTAAAAAAAAGACAAAGGCCTTTTCACAGTTTCGTATGTTATGTCAGTAGATTTGTGGGTTTTCCATCTGTATGACCTCACTTAAAGGGGTCATACCACGAGGAATCAAGTTTTCATTGATCTTCTTTTAGATAAAAGAGTGCATTGTTCAATGAAAATGGTTCATTTCAGTACTTAAAAACTCAAGACCATTTGTTTAAAATAAGACAGTTCTGCAGCATTCTGACGCCAGACATATATCAATACATAACTGCCCACAATTACTTGTGATCAATTTCCCCCCTTCCATTAAAATTGTAAATCATACTCAATTACATTTATCTGATTGAGGTAGTGTGAGATACAAAAGTTGAATAAATACCATTCAAAAGTCTGGGGTCAGTAAAAATTGTTAAGATTTTATTTCATTTTATTTTATTTATTTTAATAAAGAATCCTTATAAAGTATCACACTTTGATTTCTAAAGGATAATGTGACATTGAAGACTGGAGTAATTGCTTTGCCATCACAGGATTAAATTACATTTTAAATAAAATAGAAAACAATTATTTTAAATTGTAACAATATTTCAAAATCCTACATTTTTTTTTATTCACGTAATTACAGCCTTGGTGAGGATAAGAGGCTTCTTTTTGTCTTTCCTAAATTTTCCTTTGAAAAAAATCCTCTTTCTTTCCAGATCAAATCTGCAGTTCAATATCAGTCCCAGTATCCTTTTAAGTATACAGTAGATATGAAATGCCAGGAAAGATGCCAGCACCACATACCTTTATTAACTGAGTAACTCATACATATCAAATTTTTCGCTAATACTATAATGATGCACTTCCAAACTTAACCGTGTTCTGTGGTGCCAAAGGAAACATGCTGCGGTACATGGCCAAGCACAGGAGAAGAGAATCAGAGCACTTCTATTGAAAGTGGCGGGTTTACTGTTGACTAATAGAAGGTTGCTCTCACTTATTGTTTGAGTTGCTCTCTGATGGGTGAAGTGCTTGAACAAAATGTTCTGAAAACAGAGATGAATCACAAACTGTGTCTTATTAAAAACAGGTCAGCATAAATTATGTGAATTGATTTTAGGTTTAAGAAAAAGATTAAATATCCTTAAATAAATACAGTTATCTGCAATACTCTTAAATACAGTTAGGTTTGTAATTAGGGATGCAACAATATTATAACTGATAATGTTATGGTTGATAACTGATAAATGGCAGATATAAAAATTGTATAGGCCTACTATTTTGTATAAATAAATGAAATATAAACACTTAAAACTAAAACCAATTGTTTTAAATGTTAGAAGTGAATATAGATATAACATTAAAATGTACAGTTTTTATAAAATTGATATTCATTTCACTAAAGATTTTTTAACAAGGTTTTAAAGATGAACTTTAAATGAGTGTTTTATGACTTCAAAGCTAATCTTTTGTTCAGAATCATTTTTAATAATTATGTAATAATGCAGCTTAATGTAAATATAATTCTAAAGAAAAAAGTCATACAGGTTTGAAACGACATGACGGTGAGTAAATGATCTATTTCTGCTGACTTCTCTATTATTTCATATGTTGCTCAAATGTTTATGTTTCCTTTATAGCCTTTCTTCCTCCTGTTGCTTCATCTTCATTTTAAGATTTATAGCGTTGTCATATACAAACCTCTTTATAGTGGCATAACAATAACAATCTTTCATTCCTAATGGAAGGGGAAGAATTATTGAGCTGTCAGCGGGTATTATTCTCAAAGTTATGAGCATTTGGGTTCTTTTGACCTCTTAAGGACAGTCTTTGAAAACACAAAACATATGCACACATCACATAAGATATTTATGTGTGCGCATTCACGTCCCTGCATGCATCAAACACACAAGAAGCCGTATACTATAACCTTCTTCTGTACTGTATATCTACATGTGTCCACTTGAAACAATCCACAAAAGAAGGAGTATTTACATGACATGTATCGCATGGAGTCTCGATATTGTCTAGAACTCTAGGGGTGCTAAACCAGAAGACCACAGAAACAGGATATGCAGCTTTAATTTTCCTCCGTGGGCCAGAGATCTGTCTTCACCGGCTCATTCTCCACCGTCTTCGCTCTTCTAAACAATGACACCCTCCCTGCTGAGATCCCCTGTGGGCAGCTTTCATATCAGCGTTAGCTGTGTCTGTTCAGCTGGGTGACAGAAATGTCTCAGACTCTGGGGCCGTCCAATGGGAGTGCTGTTTACAGCCTGTGAAAACACCAGGTCGCCATATCTGGAGCCATCTGGAACCTCCCAACCTGGAGATCTCCCCCAGTCTGTCTACATATGCACAGCGTCTGTCTTCTCTAGAGGTCAGGAGGATACACGCAGACAGTTGTTCCCCAACCTTTTTTGTCTTACGTACCCTCACAGGCCTATCAGTTAGCATTAAAGTAAAGTAGGTAAAGTAAAGTAGTAAGTAAAACTTCTGCCATCATGAACTCAACCTCATGTCGCCGGGATAACACAAAAGAAGTTATTCAGAGTTTTTTTTCTCCCCATACAATAAAAATTATTGGAGTCCAGTGTTGTTTTGGACCCTGTAGCGATGACCCAGCGGTCAGAGGAAACAATTTTGAATGAGCTGGACAGCGGTTAAGTGAATCCCATTAGGTGGTTAATTAAAGTGGAAAAAAAAAACATTTACAAGGTCAAATCCAAAGTTTAAACAAAAACTGTAGTGTATGGACAAAAATAGTCAAAAAACTTTCTTAAAAAATATCTTCTTTTGTGCTTCTTTTGCATTAAAGACCTTAAAGGAACACTCCACTATTTTTGAAAATAGGCTCATTTTCCAACTCCCCTAGAGTTAAACAGTTGAGTTTTACCGTTTTCGAATCCATTCAGCCGATCTCCGGGTCTGGCGGTAGCACTTTTAGCTGTAGCTTAGCATAGATCATTGAATCTGATTAGACCGTTAGCATCTCGCTCAAAAAAGACCAAAGAGTTTCTATATTTTTCCTACTTAAAACTTGACTCTTCTGTAGTTACAAGTGTACTAAGACTGACGGAAAATGAAAAGTTGCGATTTTCTAGGCCGATATGGCTAGGAACTATACTCTCATTCAATGATATTACGCAGCGCCTGAAAATAGGTTTATTGGAAGTTACCCAGCTGGGACTATTTTCAGGCGCTGCCAAATATCATTGCGCCTGCTGCACCCATGGTACGGCAGCAAAGTTATGAATAACGAGTTATGAATGAATGAAACGCCTTTGTCCGCTTGAGAAACAACTCGTTTCAACTACGGTTTTCATAACCGATGGCCAAATTCAAAAACGAAACTAAAATTAATCATCTTTGAGAGCAAGGGGGCCCCCTGGTGTTTCAGGGGCCCTACGCAGCTTGCGTACTTTGCGTATAGGGAGGATCGGCTCTGCAATTAAGTCATAATAAGGGGTGCAACAATATTAAAATTCTACTCATAATGATAAGATGATACATTTTTGATTGATGCTAAATATTAAATATGACAGTGCTGCAAAATTATTAGTTATTAATTATCAGTTAAATAAAGATTCTTTAACACTTTATTTTAAGGTGTTCTTGTTACACGTTACATACACATACTATTACAATAACAATAAATTATGCATAATGGCATGCAAGTAAACCTAAGCCAAAACCTAATCCTAACTCTAACCATATAGTAAGTACATGTAGTTAATTAATATTACTCAGTACTTAAATGTATAATTACACTGTAACAAGGATACCTTAAAATAAAGTGTAACCAAAGATTCATGTAAGTGTGCATGCAACGTGATCTCATGATAATTCGTATGTATTTTACGTAACATGTGGTTCCATAAAACGTACATTTACTTACGTTTTTACAGTCACTAAAACGTACAATACTGACGTATTTTCAGCATCTAAATGTACAAATACTTACGTATTTTCAGCATTTAAACGTACAAAACTGACGTATTGACGACACCTAAAAATTAATCCTTATGAATATTGAAATGCCTACATAATGTTAAACAAGACTTCACTTTAAACCTTAAAATAAATAACATTTCTGCAATCGTTTAACCTTTACTTGTCATATAATGTTTACTTTGATTGCCATGGGCCACAAAAGGCGTTTTTTCCCAACATGCTGTGACTAACAACAGAACTATAAAATACACCAAAAACGCAACATAATTACGAAATGAAACAATTTTATTTGTGCGCTGTAATCCAGATCTTCAGAATCCATACAACTGTGAGGAACAGACCCAAATCCAAGCCTTTATTCTGCGATCTTTATCTCCATCATGAGCAACGAGTCCAGTGACTGTAACGGTGCGTTTCCACTACAGCGTCAAATCTGCGCTTAGAGCTGCTGGCAACGCTACAACGCCACTGCTTTAAGGCGTGTCAAATTTAGGGCAGAGCACGCCTCTGAAAACCATGTATACACCCTGTTTGCATTTCTTCTTCTTTTAACGGTGATTGGTTGTCGCCCCGGCATTTTTCGTGCGATATTTGCATAAAGTCGAGGAATGCCCA